ACAATTTACCTCCCATTTTTGGAGGGCAGTTCAACGAGAGTTGGGCACACGGGTTGAGTTGAGCACAACATTTCATCCTCAGACAGACGGGCAGTCCGAGCGGACTATTCAGATTTTGGAAGATATGCTCCGAGCTTGTGTCATTGACTTTGGAGGCTCGTGGGATCAATTTTTGCCTTTAGCAGAGTTTGCCTACAACAACAGCTACCAGTCGAGTATTCAGATGTCTCCGTATAAGGCTTTGTATGGTAGGCGATGTCGGTCTCTGGTTGGATGGTTTGAGCCGGGAGAGGCTCGGTTGTTGGGTACAGATCTAGTTTAGGATGCCCTGGACAAGGTCAGGATCATTCAGGATAGGCTTCGTACAGCTCAGTCCAGGCAAAAGAGTTATGCCGACCGTAAGGTTCATGATTTTACATTCATGGTCGGTGAGCGGGTATTGCTTCGAGTGACACCTATGAAGGGTGTGATGAGATTTGAGAAGAAGGGCAAGCTTAGCCCTAGGTTCATTGGCCTGTTTGAGATTCTTGATCGAGTGAGAGAGGTGGCTTATAGACTTGCATTGCCACCGAGCTTATCAGCCGTGCATCCAGTGTTTCATGTGTCCATGCTTCGGAAATATCATGGCGATCCATCCCACGTGTTAGATTTCAGCACTGTCCAGTTGGACAAGGACTTATCTTATGAGGAGGAGCCGATAGCTATTCTAGACCGGCAGGTTCGTCAGTTGAGATCGAAGAGTTTTCCTTCTATTCATGTTCAATGGAGAGGTCAGCCTTCTGAGGCATCGACCTGGGAGTCCGAGTCCGATATGCGGAGCCGTTATCCCCACCTTTTCCCCGACTCAGGTACTTCCTTCTTCTGTCCGTTCGAGGACGAACGGTTGTTTTAGAGGTGGAGAATGTGATGACCCAAAAGGTCATCACTTGTTTTAAAATGAAATTCCATGTTTCGAGGCCTTAAAACCCTCTTTTAGCATCACTTCGATCTGCGTGTGCAGTCCGGGCGCTTAGCCGGAAAGCCTAAATGTGAAAATCTGTAAAAAATGATAAATTTTGACTATAAAATAAATTCATTTGACTTCAATCAACGTTTTGGGCAAATGGATCCGGACTCGTGAGTTGACGGTTCCGGAGGGTCCGTAGGAAAATATGGGACTTGGGCGTATGTCCGGAATCGAATTCCGAGGTCCCAAGCCCAAGAAATGAACTTTTGAAGAAAATTATTTTCTGAAATTCTTTATAAAGTTTGGAAATGAATTTTGATTAGAACATGTTGGTATCGAGCCCGTATTTTGGTTCCGGCTCCCGGTACAGGTCTTATATATGATTTAAGATGATTCTGTGAAGTTTGGTAAGAAATGGTATCTGTTTGACGTGATTCAGACCTTAAATGCAAAATTTGATGTTTAAGAAGTTTTGATAAATTTCATAGATATTGAGGTTTAATTCGATATTTCTGATGTTATTTTGGTGATATGAGTACACGAATAAGTCTGCGGGATGTTTTTTAGGTTGTGTGTATATTTGGTTTAGAGCCCCGAGGGCTCGGGTGAGTTTTGGATAGGCCACGGGGTGCATTTGGAACTTAGAAAAATTGCAGAATTTTAGCTGGTGTGCCCAGGCTTGAAGGCTTCGCATTTGCGAAGGCTGGATCGCAAATGTGAAACCAGCCCAGGCCTGCCTTGGCTCGCAAATGCGAGATTTTCTTCGCAAATATAAAGATTTGCCAATGGGCCAGTGATCGCAAATGCGACCTATGTATCGCAAATGCGAAGTCGCAAATGCAAAGGTTCAGCATTGAAACGTGAATTGTGTTTATGGCATCGAGGTAAGTGTTTGGTCTAACCTTAGCTTGAGGGATTGGGAGTTGAGTCCTATTTGCTATGTGGTAATTGTTGAGTACGATGTATAGGCATGGCGACGAGTATCTATACGTTGGTGTTTAGCATGCGCGTGAGTCTTTATATTGTAATTATCATGACTTTGTTGTATCTTTCATGCCTTGGTGATGGTTTCTATTTATTGTATAAAATTTGTGAAAAGAATTGTGACCTATGAACATTGAGGAGCGTTGGCTCAAGTTGTATAATGAATTGTGAAAGTATAAGTGACAATTGAACTTTTAGAACATTGGTTCGAGTTATGAAATGTGTTGTGAATGTATAAGTGATAATTGAACCTCTAAAGCATTGGCTCTACCTGTGAAGTGAATCGTGAAGTAAAAATGAGAAAGAGAAGAGATCATTATGTTGTCGCCCTTGCCAGACTATTGTTGATTTATTTGCTATCTCCCTTGCCGGGATGTTGATGTTATTGATATTGTTCCCTTGCCGGTATTTAATTGTTGAATTGTAGTTCCCTTGCCGCGATTTTTGTTGTAAATTTCATTTGTTCCCTTGCCCTATTATTTGTGATTGTTGTTTGGGTGAGGAAGAGAGTTAAAGCATGAAGAGTGATGCTGTGCATTGTTTGTTTTGTGAGAAAAGAGTGTAAAGCACGAAGGGTAATGCCGTGTCGCACGATGTACCATTCCGTGCCGATTATATTGATTATATGGTGAGGAAAGAGAGTAAAAGCATGAAGGGTGATGTCGTGTACATTTTTATTATATGATTGCTTTGGTGAAGACGAGAGTAAAAGCACTAAGGGTGATGTCGTGCATTTGTTGATTTCTAATTCTTTGTTGATATCCGAATTATATTGTTCCTTTCATTACTTGATGTCTTTCTATTCGGAATTGTTATCTTCCCCACAACATTTTTCCCCTCACATATTGACTGGTTATTTTTGTATTTCTTTCCACTTTATATGTATTTGAACTGCACAAGCTATTTGGTAGTCTGGTCCTAGCTTCGTCACTACTTCGCCGAGGTTAGGCTAGACACTTACCAGCACACGGGGTCGGTTGTGCTGATATTACACTCTGTACTATGTGCAGATCCCGGAGCAGCTTTTGGACTATAGTGTGGAGGCTACCTTCAGTCCACGCGGAGATCCAAGGTAGAACTGCAGGCGTCCGCAGGCCCTAGCGTCTGGTCTATTCCTATTTCCTGTTTCATTTTCCTTTTATTCAGAAACAGTGTATGGTCATTTTCTTCAGACTTTGTATGTAGTAAATCTTAGACCATTTGTGACTCCAGGTTTTTGGTGCTTTAAGTTTTAAGAGTTGTAATAGATGCAGATTTTAGATATTTAATTGGTATCTTCCGCTTAATTATTTAAAGTTCCGTTATTTTTATGTTATCGTCTTATATTGGTTTTAAAGAAATAATTGAGTAATGAAATAAGTAGTTAAATGAGTGGCTTGCCTAGCTCACATTAGTAGGCACCATCACGACTCTCAAGGGTGGAAAATTCGGATCGTGACACTTGATGACTACTATGGTCAGCACTAGAAGAAATTAATGGTGTCTAATGAGCCAAGATGACTCAATTTTGGCAAGGCCCTAACCACTATTAGACTGGCCTATACCGGCCTGTGACAATGGGGGCTGAGTTAGCGCCGAAAAAGTGGTAATTCTGTTCAAATTTGCATCTGGTGGACTAGGACCTTTATTCCAATCCCTAAAACAGTCCATTATGAAAGAATCACCTAAAACCATCCAAGAATTAAGCTAGCATGATATTTATAACAAAGTTGACTTTTTAAAACTTGGTCATAAAATATGCAATTCAACAATTAATAAAAGATTTTAAATAAAAGAATTAACCTCTAATAAATCAACTTTCTATTAATTTAATTTTTCTCTAAGATTAGAACTTACACCTAACCAGAATTTCTTTTTTATTTTTGTAACACCACATCTTTGAGATGATCTTACGTCTATGCAACCTTCTGGTGAAATAACTTTGAAATATTTATCGTATTTAGTGTCATAATCTTTTTGGATTATTAAGTTTAATGAAATGTTTAATGACTTTATAGCACTATGATAACTAGCAAACTCTGTATACCAAACCCCAAAGCCATATTAGATGAATTTGGTGGATGCACTAGAGCAGGGACAGTTTTTTAGAGGGAAAAATTAGAAATAACTAGATTTACGATTGATAATTGAAAAATAGCCATAGTTTCAAAAGCAATCGAAATCTAGCCACTTTTTCATGTAAAGATAAATATGAACAAAAACACCCTTAAAATACCAAAAAAATTACAGCATAATATAATGGAGTTCAAATTTTTTATATATGAGATTCCAGCATAGTGTGCTGTAATTTCATAATGTGCTGGAGTTTCAATATAATATGCTGGAAGTTTAAACATATGAGCTCCATAATCCAACATAGTATGCTAGAACTTTCAGTGTACTGGAGTACCAATATAATATATTGGAAGTTTATACACAGGAGCTCCATAATCCAGCATATTGTGTTAGAACTTTTAGTGTTTCAGCAAAACAATGGTTATTTTTTAATGACTTTGCAAATGCTGGTTATTTTTCGATTACCAGTCTAAAAACTAACGCAAGAGCTCCATAATCCAGCATATATGCTTGAACTTTCCGTGTGTTAGAATTCCAACATAATATGCCGAAAGTTTATACGCATGAGCTCCATAATCAAGCATATTGTGCTGGAACTTTCTATGTTTCAACAAAACAGAGACTATTTTTAATGATTTTGGAAATGCTGACTATTTTTCGATTACCAGTCCAAAAACTAACTGACCCGTGCTATTTTTATATTTTTTTCCTGCAACCCCCCCAAAAAATAAACCTTTGTCCTCCAACAATTTACTCAATAGTGAAACAATGTTTCGCCAAGGATCCAACCACAGAAAATCTCTGTGGAAGCGCCAAAAATACCTAAGAATCATAATTTAACTTACTATAATAGGTTAATTATCGGTTTTATCCAAACACCATTCAATACTTAATGCATAATTTTTTGTGTAATCATCTCATAAATAACCTGATTGTGTAATTAACCTACAAGTAATTACCTCATAAGTGACATGATTGCATAACTTAGACATAAAACTTAACTCGAAACCTAGTATAGAAAAGCAAGATCCAATGTCTAGACTATATTCAAAGAAAGTTTGAGAAAGACAATCAAGCATCAAATCAGATGATTCCCCCATGAACTAATTTTTTGTCATAATCAGATGATTTTGGTAGTGAAATAAACCTGAAAGAATTATACTACAATTTACAATCACTATATTCCCTATTCAAAACTAAGGTTAGCAAATTGTTAGGAACTGACTGGGAAGTTTTCTTCCGACGGCTTTCGCCATAAATAATTAGCAGCTTCAATCCATCTTGGAGACCACATGTGTCACCGATTGATCGACTTTTGTGGAGCATGTGGCTCCTAATTGCTCAGCCAATTTCCACAAGTGGTGATTTTCTGCTTGGAATTGTGTAGGAAATACCTGGGTGAAGACGATTTTACAACCCTTCAATATTTCCTTCCGCACTTGTTTCAGCACCTGTAAAAATGCCAACAGATTCTTATTAGACTACACTAGTGTCCCCGAAATAAATTCTCTAGACATATGGCAAACAAAATCACATCCACGCTTAGGCTATTCGAACAGGACTTTTAGAGTTTGGAATTGTAGGAAAATTGGGTCCACCCATAAGGAGTGCTTTAAGGCCCAATAGGGTTATTATTAACCCTAGTATTCTCTATATAAGTACACTTAGTGTGTACATTAAAATACTTTTCTGCAGTATTTTTCTATGCTCTTCTCTCTCAATTTCGGTTAGGTTTAGACTGTAGAATTGGGGGTTGCTCCAACACACCGTGACAACCATCGCCGACCAGTAATTTCAGCCATGGTTCATCCGTTTTTGTTTCCGCTTCACGAAGAACAAGTAAGTTCTCGTTTTACAATTTACGCGCTATCTAATGTGTTTAGATTAACGTGTTACTTCATTGGTATCAGAGCCATAGGCTGGTTTTCTGGTCCGGATACATATATAGAATAGTTCTAAATTTATGTGTGAATCTAGAACTTCGTGTACATATATGATTTTAATTTTTATGTTTACGGTGCAACTATGTGGTTAATATGTTTAACCTAAGCATAATAAAAAGGTTAATTAGTTTAATTTTTGTGACAATAATTCTGAAATTGGTTTTTAGAACTTAAAAATGAAACACGAACTTGTATTCATTACAAATCTAAAACAGTTATTTGAAGCAGTTTTTCTTAAAGACATTTTTTTAATCTGCTAAAAAGAAAAGAATTATTTTCTTTGTTCAAATCTGTTAGATTGTTGCTTACCGCCGTTATGGCCACCGCCGGTTACTGTTAATCGACCATGGTCGCTTTTGAATCTATCTTAATAACAGAACAACCAACCATTAAAATAAAGGAGAATTGGAGCTTGGTGCTCCATAACCATGGCAAAGATAGGAATAGACGAAGAAATAAAGTTTTTTTCTCTTCATCTATAAGTATCGCTGGTGGCGAGATAAAGTAAGAGAAGAAAAGAGGGTTTCTTTATCTTTTACTAATTCAATATATTTTGTAATTATCTATAAAAAAACTGAAGAAGGAGTCTTCAGAAACGTGCATAGCGGCTGATAGAAAGAAGGAAAGATTATGTTTTATCTATTATAGTGGATTTGGGCTGCAGGTATTGTTAGAAATAGTTAAAATAGCACGGTATAGTCATTTTTCGGACTGGTCATTCAAAAATAGCCACCGTTTACGAAGTCAATGAAAAATAGCCATTATTTTGCTGCAACAGAGACTGATCCCGCATAATATACGGGAGTTCGGTGCATCTGTGTACGAACTCCAGCATATTATGTTGGACCGGTATACTTTGTTGACTCCTGTATAATATACGGGAGACTGGAGCACCGACACTCCAAACTCCAGTATATTATACTGGACATTTATACTTGTTGGAACTCCAGTATATTATGCTGGAGTTCTAGTGTACTTATGCTGGAACTCCAACATAGTTATCCTGGAACTCCCGTATAATATGCTGGAGTTCAAGCATACTTATGTGGAAACTCCAGTATAATATACGGGCGTATTTTCCGGGTTTTGAACAGTGTTTTCGCTCAGACTTATCTTTACATGAAAAGTGGCTAAATTTTGAATACTTTTGAAACTGGACTATTTTTGAATGACCAGTTGTAAATCTGACTATTTTTAAATTTCTCCCCTTAGAAATAGGCAACACTAAGTTATTGGGCTGATGGCCCATCATTCCTTTAAAAACAAAAAGAAAGGTCTAGCCTCTATAATTGATTTAAGGCCAGATTCATTAACTGGGCTAAAGGCCTACTTCAAGATTTTTTTTTGTGCTGGCAGACTTAAGACATTGGGCTAAAGGCCCAGTTTCGTATGTCTTGTTTAATTTTATTTTGGGATAATGGCCTAAATAAAATTTAAATTTAGTTATGTTATTTTTTTATAAATTTCAAATTTCGAAAATTAGTCATAATTTTCAGAATATAAATTTAGTATTTGTATTCTTTTAATGAAACTATAATTGTTTTATTATCCCAATTACTTGAAATGTTAATTTGTTTAACATTAAATTTATTTGTTAATTTGTTTAACATTAAATTTATTTCTTAATTTGTTTAACATGTTAAAAATGTTAATTTGTTAATTCGTTTAACATGCTTGAAATGTTAATTGTTTTAACATTACTTTTGTTAATTAGTTTAACACATGCTTTATGTTAATTTATTTAGCATGAAATCAATATTAATTAGTTTAATATTAACAATACCTGTTAATTTGTTTAACATGTATAATATGTTAATTAGTTTAACATTAAATTAAATTTTATGTGAATTTGAATAGCATGTAATAAATGTTAATTAGTTTGACATTAATTTTATTTACATGCTAATATAAGTTATTTGTTAACTTATAATCCACATGGAATTGTAAAATCATGATAGATAATTATGTTGTCTTAAACATGATTAAGACACTTAGCTAGATAATTGAATAGGTTAATTTTCATTATATTTTAATTCTTAGACGATGATTGGGAACATAGTGAACTTTCGACTCCATAATTAATTTATGTGTTTATTAACTTAATCAATTGATGCTTAGTGTCATAATATGTATGTATGTAAAACATCGTGCCTTGCGTTATTTTTTTTACATGATCCTCATTTTATTTTTTATTTTGTTAAAGAATGACTACTACTTCGAAAAATATTGTTGTTGAGCTCAACAAAGGGTTGAAACTTAATGGTGACAATTATGAAACCTAGAGCTTGAAAGTCCAGTATGCAAGCTCTGGAGGCCATCAACAATGTCATGAATGAGCCAAAGGAAGGCAATACTGCTCAGCATAGCCGTGAGCATGAAGCCTATGACAGTTGGAAGAAAAAGAACTCCATTGCTCGCATTACATTGTTGAGCACCTTAGATGATGACATTCTAAGGGAGTTTAAGGATCACCAAAGAGCTATGGATCTTTGGAATGCTTTGAGGAAAAGGTTTGGTACCTGTTCCACTACAAGGCTGAGATCCTTAACGATCAAATTTGACTCATATAAGAAACGCCCAGAACATTCAATGAAAACACATCTGAGGCAAATGACAAATATGATCGGAAAGTTGAAAGATGTTGGTCATGTGTTGACTGATGAACAACAAATTCAAGCTGTCATACGCTCTTTACCTAGTTCTTGGGATATTATGAAAATGCATTTGACCCATAATGAGCGAATCACAACCCTGGAAGATGTCCGGAGACACCTTGAGTTAGAGGAGGAACGACTTGAGGCTGCAAAGCCAATAGCTGAGTTGCACATGGCAACAACCTCCAAAACCAAGAGTGATTTAAAGAAAAGGAACTAGGGAAAGAATACGGGGCCACCTCAAGTTCAGCCTGCTAAAAGAGCAAAGACTGAAAAAGGCAAGAACAGACGCCCCAAACTTGTAAAAGTTGCTAAAGTGAAATGCTATAATTGTGACAAGAAGGGTCATTATGCTAGAGATTGCTCTGAGCCTCCTAGAAAGGTATCTCATGATGCTCGAATTAGTGAACTTTGTATTTCTAGTTCTGTTTTTCTAATTGAATCTACTCCTTTGTGGATTGTAGACTCAGGAGCAACGGACCACATAGCCTGGGAACACAGTGCCTTTGTTGAATTTCGGCGAGTTCCACGTGAAGCAAAGTGGATATATGTAGGCAACAATAATAAAGTTGTTGTTGAAGGGATCGATACATGCAAGTTAGTCCTGCGTGGTGGTCGAGACCTAATACTACACGATGTTCTCTTTGCACCAACAATTCACCAGAATGTTATTTCAGTTTCAGTTTTGCTTAAGTTAGGATTTGACTTGTTTTGTCATGGTAATTCTGCCAAGTTGACTTTTGGTTCAACTTTATTTGGTTTTGGTCATTTGACCGGAGGTTTAATTATTATGGATTTGGATTATGATTCATTTAATAATAATGCTAATTTTTCTATGTTTGTTTCTTCACATAAATATGATAGTGATGTAAATATATGGCATGTTAGACTTGGTCATATTGGCCAACAAAGAATGCAAAGGTTAGCAAAACAAGGTTTGCTTTCTAGCATTGAAACATGTGGAATTGTCCACTTGTGAAAATTGTCTAGCTAGAAAATCTGCAAGAAAACCTTTTGGTCAGGCGATTAGAGCAGAATATCCTTTGCAATTAGTCCATTCGGACATCTGTGGGCCTATGAATGTTAGGGGTAGGCATGGAGCAAGTTATTTCATCACACTTATTGATGACTTTACCCGTTTCAGTTATGTCTATTTGATTTCCCACAAATCAGAAGTAATAAGTTGTTTCAAAAGCTATATGAGCTTAGTGGAAAATCAATTAGACAAGAAGATAAAAGCTCTTCGAACTGATCGTGGTCGTGAATATTTATCAACTCAGTTTAATAATTTATGTGATGAAAAGGGAATAGTTCATCAGTTGACTATCCCAAATACTCCACAACAAAATGGTGTTGCAGAGAAAAGAAACAGAATGCTCATAGAAATGGTTAGGTCAATGATGGCACAAGCTAACCTCCTAATTAGTTACTGGGGTGATGCGTTGCTTACTGCTACCTTTGTACTTAACCGAGTGCCTACAAAATCAGTTACTACCACTCCATATGAGTTATGGACTGGAAGACAACCTGACCTAAGTGTATTAAGACCTTGGGGTTGTGCTGCTTATACACATGATTCCTCTCACAAATATAGAAAATTGGGCCCGAGGGGAAAGAAAAGTATCCTTATAAGATTCTCTGAAACCTCAAAGTGTTATGTGTTTATAGGCCAGCAAGACAGTGGGAGTGTAACTGAGTTTGAATCACGAGATGTCACATTCTTAGAGGATGAGTTCCCTAAGAAGGGAGAGGTAGGTCAAGACCTAACCTTATTTGAGATAATGGATCAAGAAGTACAAGGATCACTTAATTCGAGTGGGAGAATTTTAGCAGATGATGAATTAGTTTCTCATCAAAGACCTCCTTCATCATCATATGCGAATGAGAGTAATCCTTCTACTTTTAGTGGAAGTGACCAAATGGATCTTGTTCCAAGTGGGAGCGAGATGGTCACAGATCTTGTTCCAAGTGGGAGCAAGATGGTCACAGATCTTATTCCAAGTGGGAGCAAGATGAATGATCTTGATCCGAGTAGGAGCAATATTGATCTAAATGGGAACAATGATGAATCACAAGTAAGACGTGGTTCTCGTAAAAAGATTCCATGTCAACAATTTCATATTAAAGGCGAAGAACTATTTATAATGCTCCTACAAGAAGAAAACGAGCCTAAAAATGTAAAAGAGGCTCTCTCATGCCCTTCTAAGGATAAATGGACAAAAGCAATGGAAGATGAATGGGAGTATATGAGAGTCAACAAAGTTTGGGAACTAGTTGACCTCCCTAAATGACGCAAAGCAATTGGGAGCAAATGGGTTCTCAAAATTAAGCTCAAGGCTGATGGCACAGCTGAGAGATTTAAGGCTCCACTGGTGGCGAAAGGGTATACACATCAGAAAGGAATAGACTACGAAGAGACTTTCTCGCCTGCTGTATGATTTACCCCGGTTCGCCTGGTTCTAGCTATTGTTGCAAGCCTGGATCTTGAATTACATAAGATGGATGTAAAGATTGCCTTTCTCAATGGAGAACTAGATGAAGAAATCTATATAGAACAACCTGAGTGTTTCATTGAAAAGGGCCACGAACAAAAGGTTTGTAGACTTTTGAAGTCTATTTATGGCCTCAAAAAATCTTCAAGGCAGTGGTATATACGCTTTCAAAATGTTCTTGTATCTAATGGTTTTACCATGATGGATGAAGACCATTGCATTTATACCAAGAGATCAAGAAACAAGTTTGTGATTTTAACATTGTATGTAGATGACATACTTATAGCTGGAAATGATAAGGAGTTTATAACCGAGATAAAGTCATGGTTAACATCCCAATTTGAGATGAAAGATATGTGTGAAGCTGCATATATTCTTGGAGTTAAGATTTCAAGAGATCGTCCAAAGAAACTATTGTATCTCTCACAAGAGAATTACATTAGAAAAGTTCTTAAACGATTTAATATGCAAAATAGTATCTCAGTTGAAACTCCTATCAGTAAAGGCCATACCTTGGGAAGTCATATGTGTCCTAAGACTCCTGAAGAGACAGAAAGAATGAGCTGAGTTCCTTATAGGAGCGCAGTCGGAAGTCTAATGTATGCTATGGTGTGCACTAGACCTAATATCTGTCAAGCAGTTGGCTTGGTAAGTAGATATCAGACCGACCCAGGTTTAACACATTGGCAAGCAGTAAAGAAGATCATGAGATATCTTAAGGGAACTGTTGATTATGCCTTTTGTTATCAAGGCGGCAAGGATCTGTGATTAGTTGGATACAGTGATGCTGACCATGGAGGAGATCTAGATGAGAGGAAGTCTACCTTAGGTATGTATTCTTACTCAGTGATGGGGCCATATCATGGAGTAGTAAGAAACAATCATGTGTATCACTATCTACGATGGAAGCCGAATACGTGGCTCTCGCATCAGCAGCACAAGAAGCTGTTTGGTTGAAAAAGTTCTTGGAGAACTTGTTGGATATTGCTGAAAATACTGAACCAGTATTAGTCTACTATGACAGTGAGGCTGCAATATCCTCCACCATGGATCCAAAGTTTCATTGTAAAACCAAACATATAGATATCAAGTATAACTATGCGAGAGACGTGGTTAGACGCAAGGTAGTGAATGTGAAGTATGTGGCTACAAAAGATATGCTAGCAGATCCATTGACCAAGCCTTTGTCTAGAGATGCATTTGTGAGACACACTAGGTCCCAAGGCTTGCGTAGATNAGACACACTAGGTCTCAAGGCTTGCGTAGATTTTGAGATACTTTATTTTGTTATTTATTTTCCCGTGTTCTCAAACTGATGTTCTTTGATTATCAATAAAATTGATTTACATACATACATTTTTTTATTGTTGAATGTTATGTACATTCTTTGTTCATTTTTTTATAAGTATGTCGAGTAGACATGAGGTTGGCCTTCTCACACAGGAAACCGCCTCCTTATCTTAGTGATGTGAGGAGATGAGACATGATTTTAAGCAAAATTATCATAAGGATAATTTGAGAGTTATTCGCTTAAAATCAGAATGTCGCTTAAACAATGACATAAGGTCATTAGGGTGAAAAACGTTCACCTAGTCTACTTTGTGAGCCAGATGCGAGTTAAAAATGATACAGTAGATCAAAGAACTCAAATTTAGATACTTATGGTGTCTAAATATCATCTGTACAACATTCTTTATGAGATAAAAACATACGCTCCTTGGAAAAATGGAGAAAATCTTGTAGCACATGTTTCATACCATGTGTGCTAATGTCGACCAATTGGGTAACATAAGTCTATTCTCAACTTATTGTTGTGTGAGACCCAGAGCTTTTATAATAGCTCAAGATTTTGTACCCTTAGAGACTCTGATCAGATACTTGAGACTTAGTGTGATGTTAGCTATCTTAGTGTATTTCCAAAAGACCATGAACACAGATTCGGTCAAGCGGAGCATAACTAGAAAAGCAGTCATACTAATGTTAAGGGAATCGTGAGAAGAGGAAGATCATTGATGGAATCTCATTTATTTGTATTCACTGGTGCACCAATTATGACTTATGAGTTACGATTGTGAATACAAGAAATAATGATATATGAGATTTTGAGACTATATCAAATGTGATTTACATGATCTAGGGTACTGCATACTTTATGATCTACTTGCAGGTTTGCACTCGACGAGAGGCTATATACTCCTAACAGATATATAGCACTTAGCTCTCACAGTATGCTGGTCGCACGGTCTACTTCCCTGTATGAATGATTGAAGAGATGAGAATATGTTTCTCATGTTAGATGAGCACTCCCATTATGTGTGAGTGGGAGATGTAGGAAAATTGGGTCCCCCATAAGGTGTGCTTTAAGGTCCAATAGAGTTATTAGTTAATCCTAATATTCTCTATATAAGTACACTGAGTGTGTATATTAAAAATACTTTTCTGCAGTATTTTTCTACGCTCTTCTCTCTCAATTTCGGTTAGGGTTTAGATTATGGAATTAGGGGTTGCTCCAACACACCGTAACAATCACCGCCGACCAGTAATTCCAGCCATAGTTCATCTGTTTTTGCTTCCGCTTCACGAAGAACAAGTAAGTTCACGTTTTACGATTTACGCGCTATCTAACGTGTTTAAATTAACGTGTTCCTTCGTAAAAACTGTGTTCCCTAAAACAAACTTTCTTCACCACATAGGCATAGTAATTCAGATTTCATTGCCGAATGCATAAATTCACATTAGTCGGAATCTGTTTTATCACAAATCTTCTAAAATTCATGTTTCCTTAATCAACTTTGCAATCAATTACTAAGCGTAAAATTTTTGACAGAACATTGAATTTGGTCGAAAATAATTCAGTAGAGTTTCTTCCTTTTCTTTTTCAGTTGGGATAAGTGATTCAGAAGAGTATTTAGTAGTGTGAAAACTGGATTTTTGGTTTATCTTAATTTGAATTGTGGAGAAGAATCTTTTAGGAGGGGTTAGGTTTTTGGAATGGGCAGAAAAGAGTAGTTTCTTTTATTAGGACGGAAGGAGTACTAAACTAAAAGTCGCCTGTAAATTGAACTGTTTGTCAAGAATTTTACCTGCCTAACATCTCGTTTCATAATATTGTCCCTGTGTTCCTGGAAAAAAAAACCTCAACAATGGAAGGCAGCTACAATCAAAAGTAACAAAATTAGTAAGTGTTAATCCCTTCGAGCCAATATAGATGTCCCATTACATGATTACTTAGGTAAGAACTGAAGCTTTTTTTTTTTGTATTCAAACGAAGTGGGTCCGTAATTGTAGAATTAGTTTTGAAGTATGAACATTTTCTAGCATAAAATTCGGTTTCCTTAAAATAAAAGAACTATTTAATTATGTTATGGTTCGTTAAAATAAACTGGACAGATTTTGAGACGACTCAAACAGAAAGTATGAGTTAATTTTGGGGGAGGAATAGCAAAAAACATACCGGGTCGAAGAACAGAGTGTGGATCTGTTGCAGTACTTTTAAAACAGAGGCAAGCGCTCCCTCAGCTTCATTTTCATCACTTTTCGTTTCAGAAAGTGATTTACATTTTAAACCAAATCATTACTCTTTGATTTCATTCATATAATACCTAAACAGAATTTCAGAAGTGGTTAAATTAAAGTCCATTTTAGTGGGTCATTATTAGAAAGATGAACAGGTTTTGTGTATTGGTGCAGTTTGCACAAGATAGATGAGGAGACTTTAGCTCATTCACTTTCCATTGTGACTAGATGCATCTGTGCTTTAGCCATTTATACGAGCAATTAGGGTGCATCTAATTCATAATGTTACAATCTTTTAGGTTCCTTCTGGCCTGGAGGCAGTTGTTTGCTGGAGCAATTTAGTACTGGACATCATTCCTAGATGTGTACTGATGTGTATCTGTTTGGAGAGAAATAGAAGATTTTTCGACATTAGTAGGTCCCATGCACATTTTAATCTTCTTGCTTGGTGCATGGAATATGTAACTTCTTGACATACAAACCTGCAATTTTCTTAGAGATTGCAGATTCTGAAGCTAATAGAAATTCTTTCCCAACCTAACGAGCATTTTTACGAATCGAGGGA